GGCCAACGTGGATGGCGCCCCGGAAAGATTACCAACCTTCCGAAGACTAAGGTGGTGAAGTCACTCCAGGTATCCCTGAGTCGTTCATGGCAGCGTATCTGAACTTGGGGAGGAGTTGAAATGAGTTGAATACTGTTCGATGCTCCTCTGGTTCTTTTTCACACCTGAAGAGTTTGTTGAGAACCGCAAAAACGATCAGACATGATGTACCAGCTTCTTCAGTTCGTATCCACTTTGGAGTGTTGACCTTTTGCCGGGCCTCTTTGTGACCTCAATATAGGGTATCAAATGGATTCAATTGGTAACTTTGAAGAACCAGGAGGCTCTTACTAGAAAAGAGGTTTCCGTATACCTACTCCACAGTGCTTTTTCCATGTGTTTCCTTTTATTGAGTGTTTTTGTTTGGCTAAGGCTATAGGTAAGATGTGTGCATCATGCCCAGCCATATGTCAACTTGTGTCTTCCAGGCTCCTGAGCGACCATTGTGAGGGGATGTGAGGGGTATGAGGAGACTTTCTATATATCTCTCTCTCTCTCTCTATCTATCTCTCTTTGGCATGTTCATGGATCTTATAGCTTGGGTTTGTCCTATTACCTGTAACAGTCAGTAAACAATTATATACTGTATCACATGTTTTTTTGAACAAGGCCTGCAACACAACCATCATCATCCACTGTCCCCTGGATAGACTCGGATAGACCCAACTTATGGCACCCTTCCTTCGACGGGATGAATATGATGACTGAAGCCAATGGGCCCTACAGGTCAGTTGGACCTCATGAAACACGGGAAAGGGTCATACAAACCACCTGCTGCTCAATGAGGCTTTCAGGAGCCGATTTTACTGGTCAGACTGGACCTGTAGGGAGCTGTTTGTTGGAGTGTTTCATCCCCCCTTGCATGGTCACCGCATGGACTGGGCGGGCTGGACCCCGCCGAACCGCTGGAGTTACCCTCAGCTCGTGATCGATGGGGTGGCCTACAGCAAGCTTCTCGCAGGCCACAGCTGTTTGACATGCATGTTACACATTCTACTTGTTTTTGTGAGGTAAGATGGGCTGTTAAACTGTTGCAGATGTTGCTGTTCTGCGTCCACAAGATGGGCTGTACTTTTCCTCCGGCGCCGTGCTTTAAGACCCAGGGACCCAGGGTCGACCCGATCGCGTCGCGGTGTTGGGCGCCTGGAAAGAATCGAAGGGACTTCTGATCCGAAGCAACAACTGTTACCAATCCCAGACCCGACCTGTCTGGGACTGCCTAGAGCAAGTGCCGATCAGTTGTGGTGGTTGAAAAAGGGGTCAATGTAGGCACTTGGCTGCCTCGTCACTCGCGTGCTGGCACTCGTCACTCGCGTGCTGGCACTCGCGGGTTCATCACTCAGTCCAATGCTGTGTTTCTTAAATATAGTTTTTGTTTTTTTTCTGAAGGTGGTGGAGTTGGGGTGTTTGACTCTCTTGATATGGTCAGTGGATATTTGGAAGCAGGGAAAATACATTGGAAGAAGATGTTGGTTGAGTCATGGCAAGTTCTCTATTAGCAACATTACAACTTATACCCGCTGTCTTCCCATAACAACTTATGGCGGAGGTTCTTGCGGCTGCTGGTCATAGCCCACATGCCTCATGGCGCTTGGCAAAATTGCCTTCGCGGGAACAGGTGGCAAGCACTAGAGCAATTGTCGACGACACTTGTCTGCATGTTTGTCTTATAACAAAAAGATGGTTGAAAGGTCAGCTGCCCTTGGTCTTGTCGGATGCAGTTTAATGACATTATGACCCCAAAAACGCATCTAGCAGCTTGGAGCTTGGAAAGGATTCTGTGGTCCTGGGACCAGCGAGTTTTTGCAACTGAGAGAAGGCGGTAAGCCTACTTGGCGTTGCAAGCATTGCAGCTGGTCGAACAGAAAGCGTGGATTAGTACCTCCAATGGAACATCTGATGTTTTCGAAGTGATGCAGCCGTCATATCCCCTGAAGACAATGGGTCGACACCTTGCAGCCCTTCGGGGCTCCCAGGGGGCTACCGAAAGGACCTGGGCAAGACTCAGTCTGCAGACGACAGCAATCCGAAATAGCCTTCTACCGGGAACTAAGGGACAGCTGCTTAACATTGCCTCGAACTGGAGGCTGCTGTACCCTGGCTGCTGTCAGACAACTTCAAGGGTCGACCCGCGATTTGGAGTATGTGGTGCCAGATGTTGTTGGCCGTCAGGGCCCACCTCCTTTGCCAGAGCAAAAGCAAGTGCTTTGTCCTAATGAATGTCCTTCCTACAGCAATAGCTCGTCAAGCACGTCGAGCAGCAGCTGCACTGAAGCACCTGAGGTCGAAGATCTGTGAGGTGAAAGAGATTGTGTCGCGAGCTGTCATGGTTCAACATGTCCAGGGAAACAATTGCATCCGGCAAGATCTTCTTGTTTAAACATCTTGGACAGCAGGCACCTTGCCGGATGCACTTGTCCAAGAACAGTAAATGCATCCATACCAGCTTCTAGGTTCAAAACCATGCAAACACCACTGCGTTGCGAAACTGCGTGCTGGCACTCTGCTGCGTGCTGAAGCTGCTAAGTGTAGGCATCATGCCGTACATAGAGAGTTAGGGAATGTCGTTCTCCATGCGTCGCGAGTTCCGGGAGTCTTCTGGTCTTTGTTATATTTATATGGTTGTCGATCTAAAGGTCCTAGACAGCATTGTGTATGACGATGACCCGGAACATATCAAAATCTCATTTGGCGAAAGTGTTTTCTCGAGTTGGCGAAAGTAATTCTTTTTTTGGCGAAAATGACGGATCCCGGATAAAGGAATTTAGATCAACTCCCATATATTATACGATGTACCTGCTAGAGGCAGGATTTAGCGGAAGTACCTGAAAATCTCAAGTCGTAAGTCATAATGCAAAAGCTGCCTAGCCGAGCCTATGCGGACTAGTGCCTTCCACATCCACAAGTCCTACCTCATTAGACCAGTTTGCGGGCATCTCTGGAGTAAAGAGAGCACCATGACTGCATGACATGTTTTTGTGAAAAGAACCGCCCAAGTCCTTCCCCCGAGTTATGATATATATATATAGGTTCGTGGACTTTTCGGGGCCCCCTGGGAAGCAATTTATGTTGAATCATCAGGGGCCTCATTGAGAACTGGTTTTGCGTGACCCGATCGAGTCTTTCATGAGGTCCTCATGGGGAAGATGGGTTTCTCTTTGGTCTCTGTGCGGAGTCAGCGGCTGAATTGCAAATTACCCACCAAGGTTCCCCTTTTACTCCGAGTTCCCACACGTGGGATAGAACGAGGAGGATGTTTGGTGGGAAACATTATGTTTTTTTCTACCACGATATGACCGTGATGGTTGCATTCATGCTTGTAGCGTTTGTGGCGTTGGGGAAAAAAACCGTTCCGCGCGTCTTCGTCGTCTTCGAAGACCGCCAGATGGTGCGTTGGGAAAAGCACCCAAGCATGACTTCGATGATCTCACCGGAGGCTGGACAGACGGAGTGGAGCCTGGGGACCTGACCTCCAAGTGACCGACCGTCCAATGACCGCTGACCTCCAAGTCCCGGGACCTTTCCAGAGGCGAAATTGCAATGACCCTCAGATCTAGAGTTTGGACCCTCACAATCTCGGGTTTTGGACTTCAATTGGCTAGCAGTTTGAGGGTCCATGAGCCTTTGGGATCTGTTACATAATATGTTTTTATGCTGTTTTGGAGTCCCTGTGTGGTTTTTTTCCGTCGTAACCAGGGGATCCTTCGTTCGGTGTTCGGGGGTGGCTCCGTTTGGGGGTTGCTTTTCATCGATCCTGGAAGTGAGAAGGTGCTTTGTTCGTGGGACGTGTACAGCCAGCTGGGGATCCACTGCTCAGCGGACGTGTTCAGTGCCGTGTAATGCAGGATATAATGGAGAATGCAGGATATAACATCTCCAAGTCACCCATACTAAAGGTCACCCATACTAAAGGTCTTTTTACACGTCAAAGGTCTTCTGCTGGGGCTGATTTGCTTCGCGCCCACCTTCTCGGAGGCCTGGATGGAAGCATCCGGGGCCCAACCTTGGGTTGGGGAGCCCGGTCGAGTTGATGCGGTGTCCGGTTGAGTCGATGCGGAGCATCGTTGGCACGCGAACGATCCCGGAGCATCGTCGTGTCACCCACCTGTAGTTGCAGTAGAATCATCGGCAACACGACACGAGTACGCAGGGGTACCCAGACCATTACTGCCCGGTCGTTGCGGTTGTCTGCCTGAATCTTCCGTTCGTGACCTCTTGATGCTTTGGTCGGTTCGGTCACCAACAGGCCTGTCAAAGGTCACTTAGTAGGGACAAAAGCTCACTGGGAAGGTCCTGGTATATATTTCTTCATCATGTTGGATAGAGATGTGTCTGGCAGTTGCTTGGATGGTGATCCTCACTACACCTCTAGGCTCCGAGCCTCCCCCCAGACAACAACCTTTGGTCAAACTTAGAAATGCTTGGGCCCTGCTTTGGATCCTGTTCCCTCACATTCCAGAGGTGATCCTAGCCCAGACCCTCCGGACTGGAATAGTTATGAAGACCCCAGCAAATCACCAGGTCACCTGACCCATCCATGTGGTCGTGACTCTTCCAGTCGCATCCTGAGCGTTTTCAAACCAACCGACCAAGGACGTGGTGCTGGCGCCTTCGAAGCGCTCTGAGTGAAGAAAGTGAACGGAGTGTGGCCAGCGCAGTGCAAAAGAGATGGTTTCGATGGTGTTGTTTGGAGAGGTGTCTTGTTTTTGGACATGGAACATGGATGAACATGGGAAGAAACAGAAGGAATCAGTCTTGTTTGCTGAAGTGAAATGACCTGCAATTGAGCTGCTCTCTTTGTTATTGTTTGTCTCTGTTACTCACTCGATCTGCATCGCAGCTAATGTTTACACTGGATACTCCGCAGCTGGTTCAAGCAACGCAGCTCTTTGTTTTTTCCAACCAATCCTTCTCAGAACAGAGCAGGCAGATCCCAGATAGCAGGACAGCGTGACCAAATCGTGTTTTTTCACCAACGGGGGGGTTTAGACCATTGCAGGGGCTAGCAATGGACGACCGCCTTGATGATGGCGAGAATGTAGTGCCAAGTGACATTTCCATCTTGGCCGATCTACTTCAAATCTTGGGGCCGTACCAGAGCCAGGGCCTACCTCTGACGGAGCTCCATGAGAAGTTGCCTGCCCACTTGGCCCACCTGGCTGGTAGCATCGATGTGACGCGCAACTGGCTCCAGCGCTATCCGCAGATCATCCAGCTGGCTGGGCCGCGGGGCGAAGAGCAGGTGGTCTTGGCCCTGGCGAAGGCTGCTACCCCCAGCCCCAACCACGACAAGGTCGAGAAGCCCGCGCCGCCGGCGCCCGCCGGAGCAGCGAGGCAGCCGCCAGTGCCGCCCAACGTGCCCAGCTGGCCGGCAATGCCCGGAATCCACGGATGGCCTGCTCCAGTGGGCCCCGTGATGGATGGCTATGGCTACGGAATGGGTATGGCCCCAGCTGGCGGTATGAGCAATGCCCTTCGAGTGGAAAAGGACGGCAATGCCTTTGTGGGGGATGAGGACAATTCAAACCCCTGCTCTGTGCAGTTGAGGGGGCTCCCATTCAGAGCCAGCATTGAGGATGTCAAAGCCTTCCTGGGAGACCATGCGAAATACTTGAATCCTGAGAAGAAACCGAACATTTGCCTTCTCTCAAATCGCGATGGGAGGCCTTCAGGCTTTGCTCGCATCTTCTTTGTGAGTCCACAGGCTGCACACAAATGCAAAGAGGCCTTGCACAGGAAGCAGATGGGAGACCGCTATGTTGAGGTCTTGGGCACCGATCGTGGCCGGGGCCGTGCCCGCAAAGGGACCGAGGAGGATTTGTCAGTGCCACAGGCACCCTTTGATGCTGCAACTGAGCAAGTGGAGAAGGAAAGGGTCTTGAGCGAATGTCGAGAACATTTGAGCGCACCAGGCAGAAATCAAACTTTGCTCAGTATGCTTGGGATAGCCCTGACAGAACCAGCACGCAACTACCTTCGTCGTGCCAATCTGGGGCTCAAGCATTTCTTGGCTCGCTTCCCAAACGAATTTAGGGTGGAAGGACCAAAGGGATGTGAGAAGGTCATTTGGCAAAATCCTGATGGTTTGATCTACGGCCTTCCAGATGGCCGGATCATGCCTGAAGAAGAGCCGTCCACTCCTGATACCAGGCTCATGTCACCCACCAGGCCTCCGCCTTCTGGAAATCACTTCATTGCAACGCCGAGTGATTGGGGCACTCCGCAGGTGAATTCCGGAGCCATGGGGATGGACTTTCCGTTCCCGGGTCATTGGCCCAGCTTTCCACCCTGGTCCTCCTCGCAATGGATGCCCTGGATGGAGAATGCAACCACTCCAGTGAGCGCAAAGCAGAAGAAGATCAACAAACCTCCGCCAGCTGACGGTGTTCCCATGTCCAGGAGTCATGCCCATTTGCATCCCCAGAGCCATCCCTTCGCAGAAGAAAGCGAGGCAAAGAGGGATGGAGACAGTGAATGCCTCATCGACAAGAGCAGTGTGGCTGCACTTCGTTTGAGAGGATTGCCTTTCAGCGTCACTGTGCAGGATGTTCTGACCTTCTTTGCCCAGCACAATGTGGCCGACACCATCCATGACGGGCCCAATTCTGCCAAGTTGCTTCCCAAAGCCAATGGCAGGCCCTCGGGGCAGGCTGTGGTCCAGATGCGAAGCCGAAGGGATGCTGAAGTGGCACAGAAGGCATTGAACCATAAATATGTCGGAGGTCGATACATCGAGGTTTTCGTCTACGGCAATGAGGATGACAAGGATGATCTCCCAGCACCGGAGGCGGGTTCCAGCGAGGGCTGGTCCGAGTGGTCCACCAGCTTTGCCAATGCAGGTCTAGCATGGCAATGGGGGAACCCGCAATATCAACAGAATGAAGAGGCCAAGGATGGGGGCTGGGATGCTCTCATCATGCAGGCCATGTTGCCGCTGTCGCACTCCGTGCCGCCCTTTCCAATCTCTGAGGGTTCTTCCAAACCCACCTTGCAGGTCTAGCGACCGGTCTCAGACTGGAACTCCCGAGCCCAGGCCCAGCCATTGCCACTGAGTTCCCAGAGGTTGATGAACCATTCATGCATAGAATGCATGAAGTATTCGCATGCTGTTTCAGCTTCATATGATCAAAGTCAAATACAATCATCAGAAGCAATAATCAATGTTGCATTGCCAGAGTCTAGATATTAATCAGATCTTGTGTGTTTCTCGGAATGGCAAATACATGGCAATGATGAGCCTGGGCTGAAGCAATTTTGCATCCCTTAAAGTAGGCTTGGAATGGCAAGCAGAACGGAGATTTCAAGCGAGCGTAGCGAGGGGGTGAAGAAACAAGATGACCATCAGGGCGGCCATGCCGAACAAAAAGCTTTATACAGATTTAACATGATTTAACGCATGTCTGTTCTGTTGCTTTTTCAGTGTAATTATTTCGGATCTTTTGCCAGGAAACTGATGTGCCAAGCACAGGCCTCAAGCGGCCGAGCTCTGAATATCATATCACGATATGATTCATGATCATACTACATGTATCTCACATAATAAACAATCCCTCGTTGGTCGCCTGGACCGTGGAGCATTCGTCCAGCTTAGACGTGGAGCATTTGTCTTTTCTGCATTTGGCTGTAGCTGCTGTGATTCTCAAAGAATTATGTACCCATTAGGCGCACCTAGCGGTGGAACGACGGCACATGAGACAGCAAAACTGAAGATTGAAGTTGCATCACATGATATCACTTCTCACGGAAATCAAGCATGAGGCGAAGTTTCCTTCTGTTGGAGTTGGAATTATCATGAATTGTAATATCGATTAATTATAGAACCTTCTGTTTTGTGTGTGTGTGTCACTGTCAGCACCATGAAAATGTAGATTGCTTGCATGAGCCTATTGGGTTTGAGATCAATCATGGTACAGAGTCAGCAGGTCAAGAAGCCATCAGTCCTTAGTTTTCCAAGCTGCCGCAGTTGGCCGACAGGCCCGCTGACTGAGAGGATGCACGGAGTAACACTAAAGGATGGATGGTAAAGCAGAAGGTATAGAATATCATAGAGTGTATGTCTAGAACACCATGGGTCAGTACCCATTATATACTTGGAGCCTGAGTGACCCTGTTTTGGAGGATCAACTATCCAAAATCTGGTGTTTTCCCATCAACACAGAGGTCAGTCAGGCTCTATAATATAACGAAACTCCGCTGCGCTATGCTGCCAAGTTGCAGTGAGCAGAGCCAGGTTGCACGCGTTGGCGTCCAAAACACGCAAAGCACCACAGGGGTCCCACCATTCAAGGGGTCAACCATTGGACTAGCCCACATGTAAGGTAGACTCTTGATGAATAGAACCCCCGATATGAAGAGGTTTAGTGCAGCCAAATGGGTGGCTTTGATTCATCTAAGAGTCTTAGGTCGGAGCCGGAGATGTTTGCCGTTGCGTGAGTTCGTTCTCGTTCGACCATCGGAAGCTCCAACAGGATCCGGATTGGACATTTTCCATGGTCTCCAACAGGTGTTTCCTGGTGACAAATGCCCAGAAACCACCTCTTCCCTCTCACCAAACAGCCGTTTGATGGGAAGGTTCCTGGTAGAAATCGAAAGAAGCTGGTCCCCAAACAGTCCCTATGACTCCTGCAGGGTTGGAACCCGGGTTCAGAAGTCCATACGTTTGGTGGTTACCACGGAGTGTTGCTTTGGGTTTGCTGGGTGGTAACGACTACGGACTGCCATGGTGTTGCTTTGGGTCATGTATGTTAATCGGGATATTTGGACACCCCTGGATCCCTGACACCATTGTTCCAGCGACCTGTTGCTTTTTCAGCTTCTTCACCTGGTCCTTCCACGATCCGATAGGAAAGCAAGATTTGGATGGGTGTTGGTGTAACTTTCCCAAATGCGGTCTACATGAAAGCCCCACCCAACACCACCAATATCCACCAATCATGTAGCCCCATCCTGCAGCCCATCCTGCCGTCCCATTGGTGTTCCGTCTGTTTTTTTCTGACCGTCACCCCGGAAGGGTCGGCGTGGACGGAGCAGCTGGTCACCCGATTTCGCCAGTGAACTGGTGCGTGGAAACATGGCAATCAATCGAATCGCAAGTACACTCCAAGTACAGCTCATGCGTTCGGAGTCACATGGAGTGGGGCAGGTCCAGACCCGTAGATGATGGGCACCCCATGGCACCTCCATTTGATAAGCACCCAGTTCCATGGAACTGGTGGTGGAAGATTGAAGATTGTTATCGATTGTTAAATAGATCTCTGAAACATGCTGAAACTACCCCAATGTACCCCAAAAATCCACTGCCACTTTCTCAGGTTCGGTACGACTGGACCCTCCAATCCTATGTAAGCCGTGTAAGCGTGTCCAACACATCACCATCTCAGAGGGTACTTGTATGTGGATCCAGTAACACCATAGGGTAACATTGCCAGTCCCATAAATGTCTTTGGGATTTGCTTCCGCCCATCGAACGGCCCTCCGTTTTTGTTCACAGAGGCCCGCCACGCTGCTCGTCGGCCATGTACCAACACAGTCGACAGCTGCTCAGCTGAAAAGTTCGTGGAGATTTGTCATAGATGGATGGTTTGGGCTTGGTGGCGTTCGGCGGAGTGTGCGCTTGGTGGCGTGAAGGCAACTGCCCTACTTTGCAGAAAATGCCGAAGAATCCCAAATGCTCCCGGCCCGCATCCTCAGGTTCGGTGCTTGGAGTGGGTGCCAAGGGGGTGTAACCACCGAACTTGAGGATATGGGACAGGAGCCCAAACGGGAATAGTCAGATGATGTCTTTCTTTGCTGAGATGTTGGCCCAAATCCATTTGCTCCACTCCCAAGAAATTCATTGCTCGGCATTGCCATTTGGGCGGTCTAAAGCAAATAGATCAATACATGCATGCCTTTCGGAACGGTCAACCTGTTTGATGTATGAATAGGGAGGAAAATACATGTCTGGACACCCGCAGCCCAGGGTGACCCAGCACCTTTCAATTGAGCACAGCTATGGGACTTTCACCGATTTGGACCGATGTGTCCGATGTGAAAGCGCCGAAAGAAACGCATCGACATGGCGCCAACTTGTGACTATGCCCAAACCATCCCAGACCATCCATGGGACTGGAATACAGTTACACATTTACCACAATTATTTGCTCAACTGCATGTAACGATTCCAGTCCCATGGATGGTTTGGATTGGTTTGGGACTGTTGATTTTGCTGCTGGATGGGTTGACCTCCTTGTTCTCGGTCTTTGTCGCGTCTCATCGTCCACAGATCTGTGGTTGTCACGGAATCCGTGGCAGCGCGGTGGCGTTTCCCGGCCCAGTTCGCTGGAACCGGCGAACAGAACCGACCAGGGACGTGATGTCTATCTGCCGGCAAGGGAAGTAAGGCCAGCGACCACCAAGGCCACGTGTTGTCTATGGCTCCAGAGTGAAAGTCTGCAAGACCAAGTCGTGTGTTGTGTCAGTGTTTGGTAGTACACACGTATATAATATATACACATGACAAGCTCGATCTTGTTTTTGACATCCATTTGCATGGGTTCAGAATTGTTCACAGGCTGTACTTGTACATATGTATACTAGCAGACATAAGAAAGCTACGTACACGGCACAGGAAATCACTTGATTGAACTATACTCCTACAAGAATCCATTGGTTCTATAGTCTATGAGGATTTGCTGGACATAAAGCTTCCGAAGATGGTTGCCCTCTGATCAGCTACGCCAAACACATATTTGGCTCAGTCGAAAAAGCAGCCCAAACGCAACATCACCATGTTTGGTGTGTGTGTGTGTGTCCCAGGAATGGCTAGGATACCGGGGTCCTCCCACTCAACATGTTGCACTTCATTTGCAACATAAAACCTTCACTTTAGGTCAGAAGCAGGTGCGGACTCACCAGAATCCTAGCCTTCCAAGAGCATTAAAAGAGTGATTCTTTGGTAAAGATCATGAAATCAGGATACAAGGAAGGATGCAACGCCCGGACCACCTTAAAAAATCAGGCCATTTCATCTAGTTTAATGATAACGACAATAATGCATATATATATATTATATTATATATATATGGTGGCCATTTACTGTAGTGATTACGTGGCCCTTAAGAAGGGCAAGTTACATCTCTTTATTTCCTGATTCGCGAAGCTGTCGCTCCGTCGCTCCACCGTCCAGGCCCTCCGTGTATTCGGTGGCCTCGCGGGCCACCTCACCAGTGGCGTCCTCGGGACAACTTGGTGTTTTTGAGGTCAAATTCTTCTTGTTGCGATCGTTTTTGGCTTTTCTGGTGTGGGGGACTGTGAACATCTGTGAACTCAACAAAATTGAAGCTATTTTGTTTGTCCACGAATGAACAACTTTAGCATAGCTTGATGTTCAAGTTAATTGAAAGTGCCTTTGGAAACCAGGAAACATTGGTTTGCACAGAACCCTTCTTCCATGCCGAATCTTTAAGTGTCCGTTGGGATACTGAGTACTGGCAGCGGCCTCGACGCGGAAGATCGCGAGCGAATCAGCTTCCGACGTTGCATCACCTGTTTTTCTCGTTTCACAGAACATATAGACAATGAAGCTCTAGAGCAAGTGATGCTTGAATATTCTCAAGAGGGACAGTATGATGAGAAAGTCTTGGATGCCATTCAACGTCAGGCTTGAAATAGTTTAGCTTTCCAGCTGTGTAGCAAGGCAACCTCGGGGAAAGAGTGGTGGGAGGTTCGCACGTTCCCAGAAGAACTCGTGGTGATTTGGATTCAAAATGAGGGAAGAGTAGTGGCAGCCACTGAGGGGCTACTCCTCTTCTTGTCAGGTGGATGCCATTACCAATCTACATCCATTCCTGCTGTCGTTCTATCAGATCTTCTTTACCAGGTAGTTTGGGGCATCCCTGCCGCATCCTGACCATTCATCATCCGTGCATCTTCTGACATGGATGACACAGATTTGTGGCAGAAATCTCAGACTTCATGCACCATCTCATGCGTCAATCTGTTGTTTTTCGGAGGTGATGACCTGACACCGGCCGCACCGTTTCCGAAGCGACCACGGAGCCAGAGCTACCTCGACCCACCGGGTCCGAGGTGA